GTAGGACTGCAGTACACTGCGTATCTGCATAGTATTCAAATATTTACAAGTCACTTAGAAAAAAACAAGGCCTAAGGATGATGAAATGGAATAATATAGAATGAATAACAACAATTTAARTGAAAAATAAGTAWAAGAAAAAAATGAATAAATTAAAGTTATTCAACTTAAAGAGGATTAGCCATTCGTCACATAATTCGACAGGCGATTATTATATCAATAATTATAAACACAATTCTATAGAAAATATTATTTTAAGCAAGTATTTTATAATTTATTTATACAAGTCATTTTGCGGGTATCTTTAAAATAAAATACAGATGGGGGTAATTTCAACTGCCTATACTTTAAAAAGTTTATACACTTTGTTTTTATATTTATCATCTATTATGATTTTATTCGTAAGAATTGTGATATCTATTGATAATATTTATTCGGTACAAATAAAAAACATAATATTAGAAGATATTCAATCAATTTAAATATAAATTCAATTCAATAGACCATTATGAAATAATATATTTTGTTGAAATAAAATAAAAACTAAAGTGTGTAAATACAAATACATATAGTTAATACGTGTTATATCCGTAATTTGATGTACAGATAAATTTATACCTATATAATATTATTGTGTATCAATAAATAAATGATAAGTTTTTTGTTTTGTATTGGCTTCTAAAAAACAAAAGCTATGACATTCTAAACACCAGTTATTAAACACATAATTTATGAAATAAGCAACTTGAATGATGAAAATATTGTATTGTCATTTTAAACGTCACTACTATTATAAATTATAATAGCTAGCACTATTTGCACGCATAACAATAACTTCATTGCTTTATACTATTTATATATGTATTTTTTTTTATCCTGCAAATATACACGACGTATATAACAGTAAATTTAAAAATAAATAAATAATTTATATTTAATTCAAATTTAAATTTATCGCCATGACTGCACACCACGCAGTGTAAAATTCAACAAAATTATTGCAGTTAAAATTAACTTTTTACACCAGCTCAAAAGACATACAACTATACGTATATTGTACGTTGTTTACTTTTTAAACTTCATACATATTTAAGAGAGCGTAGCTACTTTATTTTTCAATATTGTGTTGTGAGAAAATAATTGACCATAACATTTCACTGTAAATGCAAATGTATAATACTTAGTGCGATATCCACTACCTATACACATATTGATAACACTAACATGTATAAGCGTACTAATTTATAATTAATATTTTTTTCTGATATCAAAATTTTATATTATTTTTAACAATATAATATTATTTTAATGGAAAAAAATATTGAATAATGTTCGGAACCTAGAATGTAATTATTTGACTATAACAAAGCTGCAAAATATAACAATTAATATAATAATATACTACGTACTAGGCGTATTAATTCCTAATTTTTTTTCCTAATACTAAATGTTATATTATTTTTAACAATAGTTAATGAAAGAAAATATCTAATAATATTCAAAACTTAAAGGGGATTTTGATCTCGATTTTGAATATAACAAATCTACAAAATATACAATAGCTATAGACAGGTCCCATTGCCCCAATGTTTTTGCGGGCCGATACAAAACTTTCAACAATAAAATATATTAAACTCAACCCATTACATATACGTAAAGCATTACGACTTTACGAGTGTCCCATATACGATACCTTCTAGATTTTAATCAAAGATTAACTAACAGCTTAAAATATCAATATAACTATTATACTTATATTTTATTTATATAACTATATAATATACTAAATAAATTAAATATCAATATACTAAAATGATATACGCATTGTAAAATATTATTAATTTTACCTATAGGTAGTTGAAATAAGAACTATTATGAAAATTTCAAAAATTACAAATTTATTTCATAAAATAGCCGGACACCTGTACTCCATGTCTGACCACCTTCTCCCCATTGTGGAGGCTCTGCCTATAGGCTATAACTATTAACTTGTATTCATCCTTAACATCAGCATAATAATATGGAACCTATTTAAAAAATATTAGGTATACTTTAATCAACTCAATAGTGTTTTAGTCAACCAAACATATTAAAATGTTTTATATTGATATACTATATGTAGTTCGTGGAAATTTAACTTTTTATGAGACACGTAGGTATCACAATTTTAAATTTACTGATAGGTACATCAAGTCATTTGCGCACGTGGAGGCTGATACCTTGTGTATAATCATTGTTGACCAATATATTTGAATATCAACACCAGTTACAACTCGTGTACGATCGATTATTGTTGGGCGATGTATTTGAATATTAATTCGATAAAAATTATTTTAACATCATTGTTTTTTAATTTTACATTATATTCATTGTGTTATAATATTTTTATTTACCAAATAGGTACTGTTTTTCATATAATATTGACTTGTATAGTTTCATTAAAAAATGTTAATATTTTAAATATTTTAATGTTAGGTAAGTCGATAACACGATTTAAGTCAAATTTTGTGTATGATATATCAAACCTAGACTTTTATAGCTAAGTTAACTTTAACTCTGTTCTTATAACTTTTAGGCACCACAATGTTGTACATTATCATTATTATTTTTTTATTATAAAATATATAGATACCAAAAATCCRATATTTTTTCTTGTTATTTTTTTGAACGGACAACTTAAATTTAAAAGAATAATAATTGTTCCTAACCTACGTATAAAGGTTATCGCCTAACCATAAAAAGTGGCCAAAAACTTAGTAACAAAACTAAATAGAAAATGAAACACTGAAACTTTTACCATACAACTGATAAACTATGCACCAACTACCGACAAATTCAAATGGCGTAAACTATGTTTCACTAAATTCAGAATACTCTGTAATTCAAACCTACTAATTAATTAATTTTCGTCAATAAGATAACAAAATTACCAACCTACTCCTAACTTCAGAGGTTGAAACGACCAGAATTACGATGGTTCGATAGAAACCTCCATTCAAAGTAAATACGTTGTACCTGCGTATAACCTTCTACCATTAATTATTACACGGTATAGCCTACTTAGATACATATGCAAATTATTGGTTGAAATAAATTTTAAATTTATTATCTTCCAAGAATTAGTCAAACGCCATTTTTATGTTATAATAATAGCATAATAATAACTATAAAATGATATATTAAGAATTGGAAAATACTAGAAATACTAGTTTCAATAGTTTCTAAATTTTCAACGAGTTAATTCGAGAATAAATTGTAGTAAGTATATAACTTATCATATAAATATACTACTATAAACATATAAAAATKCATAAGTTTAGTAACTACCATCAACAAAACCAACTCAGTGACCTCCAAACTACGATTTGTTTGATACCTTATAATTGATAAAAAAAAAAGGAATATGAGAAGTCGAAATACCTATATTATTATAGGTACGTGCATAAGTTATAACACAATTATTCAGGTACAAACTGAGACTTAACCTACTTGCCACTTGACCATCCATAAAACATATTRATGGCAAACTACAAAGTGTTGACAGTGCTTGAAAGTTGAAGTATATATCAAGTATAACAATAAAAATATCGGAACTGTTTTTTCAATAAAACAAAAACTTTTCATACTCATTATAATGTATAAATAAGTATTACTTACAGTCTGCACTTAAATAGTTTACTAATATAATGATGTAATATGCAAAAACGTTTATTAAATATTCAATAGCATTTCACAAAGGACTAGATAAATGMCACTTTAATTTTTTTTAATAAAACGTGTCAAAAGCAAAAAAAAATTAGGAAGTGCGAAAATTAAAAACGAGATACTAATTTAAAAAAATTATCATCACGGAATTATAAACACTAAATAAGAATAATTTGTTTATTTAATACAAATAAAATATKACATATTAATAAACATTAATTTATCATCCATAAATTATTGTATATGATTTTTTTTTTTTTATGGGTTTGAGCCGTTTGAGGCGGAATTAGTCGCTATAAATTAAAAATATATTCGAATTCTTATGTAAATAATATCAAACCATATTAGACAACGAGTTTTAGCGCACARAATCGACAAAAATCCTAAGATCTAATAATCAATGGAAGCTAAATTAAAACAGAACGGGATGATTTCCGGTAAGGTATTATTGTTTAGTATCGTTCGGTCTCCAGTTTTTTACAAACCTATTATACAGTCAAATTTCGGTAATCCGACACAAATCAGACCACACTACTGCCAGATTAACGAAAACGGCGGATTAGTGTAGGGTTTACATCAAAACGCATTTTTACTTATTGGATTTTACACTTTTATTCATATTAAAAAATCAATAGTCTTAGGTATTGTATTTTATTACAACATACAAATAGGTAATACACACGTATACTGTGCAATCAATATTTTTATGATTGAACAGGTTTTAAAAAATTATTATTTTTTGTTCGTCTAACGATAATAAATKTATGTACATAAATATTATAAATACATATTGGTACATATAGGTTAATACAGTCGGATTACCTGACGTATCGGATTATCGAACGGCCGAGAATCTACTGCGTAACGTTTAGGAAAGACTAAATTTTCGAAAAAAAAAACACAGTACCGACTCTTTTGGTACCGCGGTTAAAAATTACAATTACGTCTACTAATATAATTTGAATAATCGCAAAATTTTCAAATTTCCTAGTGCGATCGGTGCCCATACCCACCGTAGACGCACAGATGATGGTGTTATGAACGTCYCCTAAAATTTTACAAGGGAGGGGCAAAATTAATTTAAAAAATAAATGAAGATTTTTATACTTTTTATGCTTATATTTTAAAAGTAGGTATGATCTATATGTTTAACGAATTGGCASGTTAAAGATAATGGTTTGGAAAACAAATTTAAAATTCTAGGGGGGGGGGAAGTGCCCCGTCTTGCTCCTTTCTGGGGACGCACATATGATGGTGGTATAATAAGACAGTAGTTATGTTTAAAACAAACTCACCTGTTTTTGGGCTTCCARCGTTTTTTGAAAACTCCCAACATTTTCCGGCTCGAATAAAAAAAACACCGTTCACTTATTCATACCGCGACGGCACTATTTCGTCCGAGGAAAACACTACCCGACGTGTCGCGAGAGACGCAATGCCCGAAAACGGCGTAAACGGCGGACTGACGGTAACCGATAACTCGCGCGACTGCTGACGGAAAACGGTTGACTGAAGACGGAAAACGCGGCGCACACATGAGTACATGACGGCGGTAGACGCGAACCACGAACGTCCGCAGCGGGTGTAGGGAGGGAGAACAGCTGTTCGATCGAACGCGCGCGCGCTCGTTTACGTATTGCGTTTGCGTGCGCAGTGTAAGCGCGTGTGTCGACGAGCCGGCGGCCGCTAACCGACGGCGTCCAGTGGAACAAGGCGAAACAGAGGCGGCGATAGGTACTCGCTGTCTGCCCGTCAGTCGCGCGGCAGTGGGTTGGTCGCCGGGACACACACACACACACACGATCATCGGGCCAAAGGGTCACGCGAAAAGATTGCTCTCTTTCGYGGCGGCGAGGACGTTGGCCGGTCAAACGCGTTTTCGGCTGTCACTTCGTCGTTGGGTTACTACCTAAGTACCTAGAACCTATACGGCTATACATATTATTAAAAACTTTGCTATATGCGTAACTCACTTTGCTATACAATACTACACCCTTCCCCCACAAACATCTCAAAATAACACTCTATCACGCGCACCCYTGTCCATATCAAACTACATTATATTATTACAATATTATCAAAGGATTCATCCCAACCACTGTCACCCCCTAACATAAATGGTTATTAAATCTTCCGTTTACCTACTTGATTATAAGTTATATTATAATTTATAATATAATAATTATACGGCCAGAAACATAAACATGTAAACACGTAACTCGTTGGATTGGATTGGAAACTCTCAACACTGACAAAATTTGTTTTGGTTTATCGCAAATACGAATTTTATTTTATTAATTTTTTTTAAGTATGTTTGTGACTAATATCTGTACGGTATATTGATATAAATTTCAATAATTACTTCTTTGATAACTGCATTATACTAAATGTATATATTTGTATGTCATTGTTAATTCTACTTACASTTTAGACCAACGGTCGGCAACTAACTGGCGGACCGCGGAATGCAGAAAGCCTCATCCGGACCGTTGACATGTCTTAACATTTTTTCTTCATATTACTATTATAAAAACATAAAAATTTGGCTTACAATTTTTTCACTGGACCTCATTTGTTTATTATTTTAATCTTCCGGACTCCAATAGAAATTACTTGCCGACCCCTGCTTTAGACTTATTTGTAGTAAAAAATAAGAAATAGATTCGAAAATCGTGGGTCATTCTATTTTATACATAATATATTATTATCCTAATAGTGCGTWTACATCATTCTACTAATTCTTTATTTTGTTAGACARAATACAGATACTATTATATTAAGTTACGTAATAACGTTGCAGTGTTACTGAATACTGTGACTACTCTTACGACACCATTCGAAAATTCTGCACATAAGTCACATAAACGTAGGCAAATTAAGTATGTAATATATTAACACAAGCATGCAATGTTGAATTGGTGTCCCTTTAGATTTTAAAAATGTATCTCGTTCCTGAAGGAACATATACCTATATATGTATATAATTTACATACATTTTGGTTTCACGACAGAATATTCCAGTCAACATATCCATGGTAAAATATCCCTGAAAAATATTTCATGACACAATATTAATTCAAAATTTTAACTTTTACTGTTGAGCCACAAGGGCTAAAATTCTTTTTTTATCTTATTATATAATTTGTTGCATTTATCTAACATCTATTACAACATTGTTGACTGTTGTACAGCAACACTTATACAATTGTTATAATTTTTAATGGATTACAGTGAAAAAACTGCTGTTTTCTATACACTTCTGCGTACACAATATATACGTAGAACTGTAGAAGTTTTTAACAAACGACATGCCAAAATATAAAAATAATTTCAGTAGTTTTAATAAATAAGTATTATAAATATCACTTAATCATCGCAATCACATCAAATTACAATGGTCTTAAGATGTATTTCTTTAAATTTAAAAGTCCTACGACGATTCCGCAATACCTATATACCTTAATAAAGTTAAAAGGCGTACTAAAATTAAGAGGGTACAACACCTATTGAGTTCAACATTTGACAATTTCGGTATTGCCTCCGAGACTGCTTATTANGTAATCGGAATGAGAGGAGCGATAGGACGCATGTCTAACAAATATCGTATATATTATTATAAGGTGACAAGGATTTTGTTTTCCAATATGGTTTTTTTTCCAGGAAATCGTCGGTAGCATTGTCGAGGCCGCGACGATTGCCTATGTTTATAACTAAGATTATTAATATATAATATATATTATATATATATACATTATTCTTATAATTTTGAGTTATTTATAGTTATTAATTTTAGTACTAAGTATTATTATTATAATAATTTTATAAAATTCCAGAAATTATTTTTCTCATTAATAAACAAAAATAGTACTAGGAATTTACATTATGTTAGAATAAAACTTCTGTAAACTTATTTGCATTCGTCATGAAGTTTTATAATAAATTTAAAAATGGCAGGAATATAAATTTCTGAAATGTGTTAATAATTTATGGTAGGRGTAAACCGTTCTAGTTACCGAATTTCTATCATGGACTGGTGTAAATCCACATGGATCAGAGCATAGATATAATATAGATATAAGTACATAAATTATAAAAAATTATGATAATATTATTACTATTGTAATATCTTTATCTTTATATATTATTAAAACGTAAGGCCATTTCTTATGACAGTTATATCTGAAGACTGAAATTCTGTGGGACCGATTTTCGTGATATATTTTTCTAATGCGAGTACTCGATGTGCAGATAAGGCATTAAAAGAGGAAAGCCGAAAGTCCAAAAAATGAATTATTTATTAATTAGTTATTAGAGGTATAAAGCTTGCCGTATTGTTACATAGCGACGCGCATTGCTTGCCGTGCGCACACACACACATCTTTAAAACCCCCAATACTCCTACAGTCCTACGTCTGCTGCAAATCTGCAATAATGTTGTGTGATTGTGTCGTTGTCGGCAGCGAGCRACCGCGACGTTCAGTGGCTCCGAACATWATTTTTATAGGTAGAGCAAAGTACAAAAATTAATACCCACCCCACCCAGAGACACTCAACTAGATCGCGTATTCGCATCCGTTTTTGATATTAGGGAATATATATATTTTATTTCTCCTTATATGAATTATTATTATACACATAACGATCATATCCTACCCCCCCACAACCACCCTAACCCCACCTACGATCTACTCACCCACTTTCAATGGCGGGGCGGTTGCCCCATCTGAACATAGGGTTCGGCGCCACTGGCGATGTACATTTACGAATGGATCTTCACKGGAAAACATTTTTTGTGTCGTATATAATATTGCCTACATTTAGCCCCTTTTTGTAGCTATCAAAATGTGATAACATTGATAAAATGATAACATCATTTTCATTATAAATTATAATATTATATTTTATTATAATTAGATTTAATGGTTTTATACATCGCTAATCGCTAAATTCAAATTCAAATAGTTAAATAAATTTAATAATACACAATTCGTTGCGAATATTTCAAACGAAAATATAATACAAATGTTATCATTAGGATATATTTTGTATTTTTGTTATAAATACAAAATCATCTTGCCCAGTATTTTAAATTCAAAATTGGATTATAAATACATTTTGCTAAATATTTGGCTCATAATTGAACACTCATAATTATTTATTTAAGCGTTTCAATGTTGTTCCTTCCACAGAATCTTGAACATCATTTAAAACCCTTTGAATAGGAACCAGTATAGANTGATAACATTGATAAAATGATAACATCATTTTCATTATAAATTATAATATTATATTTTATTATAATTAGATTTAATGGTTTTATACATCGCTAATCGCTAAATTCAAATTCAAATAGTTAAATAAATTTAATAATACACAATTCGTTGCGAATATTTCAAACGAAAATATAATACAAATGTTATCATTAGGATATATTTTGTATTTTTGTTATAAATACAAAATCATCTTGCCCAGTATTTTAAATTCAAAATTGGATTATAAATACATTTTGCTAAATATTTGGCTCATAATTGAACACTCATAATTATTTATTTAAGCGTTTCAATGTTGTTCCTTCCACAGAATCTTGAACATCATTTAAAACCCTTTGAATAGGAACCAGTATAGAATATGGTACTATACTATTATATAAAATAAAACAATATAGCTAGGTACCTATCAATTTTGCTCTATCAGCTAAAAAATATTTTAAAACATTGCAATAAAATTATTGAATTAATTACAAACGAATCAAAACCTATGCAAACTGAAGATATGAATTCATTAACATAAAAAAAAAAATTAAAAACAACCACGTTTCTTCACTAAAAATAATACAAGTGATGTTTTAAATGTTGATTCATATGACGTTATTCATATAGCGTTAAAAGAAAATTAATTTCTTAATTATTGAATTGTACCTTTTAAATGACAGCCGTAAGTGAATATTGTTTTTTTTCGAATTGTGTATTATTAAATTTATTTAACTATTAATGTATTTAACTATTTTAATTTKAATTTAGCGATATATAAAACCATTAAATCTAATTATAATAAAAAATGGTTTGTTCGAAACGATGCGCTGCGCACCGACTTCAATTTACCAACAATTAAGAACTACATAAAGGGTCTATCGACAAGTTTCTTCTATCATCTACGCAAAGCGAGCGGTCCACAACATTTCGGGTTAAATGTCGGCCTCATCAATTGAAGACTGAATCGTAGTCGTCCTCATGACGTCCTAAATTAGATTATCTTCAATGAAAATTCTATTGTATATCCAATATCGTTCATTGCTTGTAACAMTATCCTAAATCTATAATGTCTATCGCTAATTTGTTAACTTATTTATTAACTACATATTATGTTAATATCGTTTTTGTAAATAGCWAAACATTTTGTACATTATACCTAAGTTTAGATGACTCTGTCAGGACTCGGGAAAACTTTATAAATAATAAAAATAATGTTATTATTTTATCAATGTTATCACATTTTGATAGCTGCAAAAAAGGGGTTAWATGCAGGCAATACTATATAC